CTCTTATAGTTTGAAACTATCAGTAAATCCAAGTTTAGAACCCTTAATCAATGTGGCTTACCATTTCTGTATCACAGACCAAAAAATTAAAAATTTTATTGAATTTCCATTTCGGGTATAACATCATCCCCCTTTGAAGGATGAGCTCCTGCGAATCCCGTGAAGCTATTTCTTTTTCCTTTAATTGTTTGGCTTCAACTAATAAAACTTCATTAAAGTCTTTCTCAGACATATGCGAAAGAACACTGATGTTAAGATCCTGGACTACTTGGATTGCATTTTGACTATAAGTATTAAACAGAAGTAAAACTCTTTTTGCTATTCGGCTTATTAGTTTTCCTCTGCTACTAGTAAAGTAAAGATTTAATTCATTCTTAGCTGAATCGTTCCAACCCTTTTCAGCTAACAATTCTCCTATTTGAAAGTATAACTCTAAAGACTCACTATTAGTTCGTTTATTGAACCTTTCATCTTTTAAAATATTGCACAAATAAGCAAATTTCTCCACCCAGTTATTTCCAATAATTGGGTTTGATATTATAGGATTTTCCATCCCCCTTCGGTCTAGATCCCTTAAATATAATGGTAAATTTTCATGAATTCGTTGGGTGTGAGTCTTCTTTCTGTCACGGCTTAGCTCTTTGATAAATTTTAATTCTCGCACTCTTACGGTCATATGATTCTGGCAGATAGTTATTTCTTCTTCGTCCTTTAATTTCTTCATTATTTGTTGTAAATTCGATTAAACTGAATCTAAACGTTCTTTGAGAGACTTTGAATCTTGCATAAGTTTGTTTTATTAACGACTTAAAATAAGCTTTGGAAACCTAGAGGGGGACGTCACAAGGTTCTTTTTATAATCGTCCTTGATTACCTGCTTCTTTATAATTTGTTCCTTATAAATTTTCAATAAATTTCCATGTATGGATCGACGTAAAACTTTTTCTTCCATTGTTCTTAATTTATATGATCCATTTCCATGCATCATATGAATATAATATGGCCCTTTCTATTTTTCTTCCAATTTTCCACTTCGGTGTGTATCCAGTTTAGCCTTATATAGAAGAACTTTGTCCTCGATTTTGAAGCTTTGTAATCGATAACGATTATCGTGATTACGTTTTTGTTTGGCTTGTGTCTGTCTAATCTTTTAATGGACTTCAATACGTGCTTCATTTAATTTATTAATTATTTTCAGAGTTCGGTTCATAAGTAATTGGGGTACTTGACTATCCTCTATAGGTTCTGAAGGATAGGTCAAAATAAATAATTAGTACTCCGCAAAATCAAATCAAATTTTGAATTTTAATCAAATATTTGAAAATATTTGATCAAATTTTTAATCATCAAATTTTTTAATTTTTTTAAAAAAATTTAAACGTAT